ATTTTGTTGAGACATAAACAAGAACTAAATGGTCTGCTTACAATTTTACATGTGTGATGATCTGAAGAATTTTTAGAGATTAGCTCCTGGGGCCATAATTTCAAACCTTCTTTCTTCTCCGCAACCCTCATAGGTTTGCTGCCAGGGAGCAGAGGAGTATTCATGTCTCAGGATAATATCCCTTGTCAGGTGAGTTAGCATGATGGGCAGTAGAAATATTCTGCCATAGAGCTAGCAATAAGTTACTCTAGATAGAAGTGACTTCAAGCTATATATATATATATATATATATCTCCCCAAATACAAAAATATCTCTGATTGACCTTTCTCGGCAAGGTCCCCCAAGTGCCCATAGCCAGCCACTTCAACACTACCAGATGTGAAGGGACTGAAGGGAAGTTGGAATGAAAAGAGGCAGAGGTCTTAACCACTTATGGTTAAAATTCCACTTTTTCAAATTTTATTCCAGTCTTTCACCAAGTGAACACATTGCTAGGGGCCTGTACGTGAGGGACCTTAATGCTTTTGCTCATTGACTTCCTGGAAAATTTGCCTCAGCCTCCACTGCTGTCAACATTGTTTAAGCTCCTCCCCGCTCTGCTGGGTTATTACCGTGGACTCCTGGTTCTTGCCTGCCAGTTCCAGCTCTTCTTAAGACAGGGCCCAAAGTGATCCTGTAAACACTTAAGTCAGATCATGTCACACTTTTGCTTAAAAGCCTACAATGTTTTCTCTTGCCACTTTGAGCAAAAGCAAATAGTCCAGATGGCCCTTCATGACCAGGCCCTTTTCCTTTCTGACCTCACCTCTTGGTATCCAGCCCTTCCTCGTTCCACTCCAGCCCCCTACAGTTTCTGGAATGGCCAGGCACACACCCACGGGGCTCTTACATTTACTGTTTGGACCACTTCTCACAGATATTGTCATGGCTCCCTCCGATCTCCTTCAGGAACCTTGCTTGACTGGCCCTCACTACCCACTATTTCTCGTCTCTGCTTTATATTTCTCCAAAGAGCACATCACCATCTAAATACTACGTTTTGTTTATTGTCTGTCTTCCTCCTGTAGGATATGCGCTCCATGAGGTGGCAGTCTTTGTCCGGTCTGGTGCTGTACCTGCACTCCTACAACAGTGCCTGACACAGGACTGACTTCCGGTCAATGCAGGGTCTCTGCCTTAAGTTTTCCTTTTTCTAGCCCTACCGGAAGCCCGCGGGATCACCTTCTGAGAAAGATCAGTGAAAGTACACTTACTGGAAGGCCAGTTTCCCTTAAAAGGGAAGAGCAAATGTGAACTAGTGACAGGGTTTTCTAGCATCTGAACAACTGGTGTTTATAAAGAACTGTTTTCTTATGAAGTGAATCACCAGAGGGTTTGATCACTGACCTGCACCTCCTCCCCCATCCCCAAAGATGTAACCCAGGGACCTTGTGTGTCAGTAAGAGGAAATTGCCACATCATATAATTTCTCTTCCCAGTTCTAAGGAAAAAATAAAAGGAAAAGGAGACATTTGAAATGTTGGCTCTTGTTTATCTTTTTTCATTTGCATTTTTCTCCCCCCTTCTGACTTAGAATAAAATGAACCAGAAAATATTATAGAAAAGAGAGAAAAACAGGTTGTCATTAGAGCATCCTCCTTGGTCAGAGAGGTGTTGGTTTGTTGGACAAATGAGCATAGTCCCAGGGAAGATAGTATTGCTTGTGAACATAAAATGTTTTAAGATGTTAACATAATAAAAGTTTTTAAAAAGTTAAAAAAGACAAGTAAATGTAATTATTTATAATCTCTCCACCACGACAGAAAAGCTAGTACCTTGGTGTGTCATCTTCTAATTTTTTCTCATGTTATTTCTCATGTTTTCACATATACTTTTCATCATAGTAAAGAACACACAATATAAAATTTACCATCCTAACCATTTTTAAGTGAACAGTACAGTAGTGTTGTGCACATATTTTTATGAGCATGTGATATATGTACTTATTGTATCTCGATTTTTTTCTCACTTGACCTAACATCCAATAAATCTTCCTTGCGGCAAATTTGTCTGCATGCTTGCAATTTTAAAGATGCATCATACTCCAGTCCATGGTTATGACATACATGTTATTTAGCTATTTACCTATAATTGGACATCTTTGTTGCTTACAAATTTTATTCTTCAAATATTACGAACTTAGAGTGCATGTAGTATTTTTCTTTTTAGTGTTTTTATATGATCTTCCTAAGATAATTTTCTAGCTGTTTTCTAGAGAAAACAAAGTCACAGGTGATAACTCTTGCATGGTTCTTAAGAACCACTATAAAATTGCTTTCCAGAAGGTTTGTACCAATTTAGAATGATGCCAGTGAGAAATGAGTGCACAGACTTCACCACACGGTCACTGGCACTTGCTGCAACCTTTTATTTTGTTAGTATTTTTTAAAGATTTCTTATTTTAATATGCATTTTTCCTATATCTATTTTCCTAGATTATTTCTTCTGTTGGAAAATGCCAGTTCATGTCACACAGTTTACATCTGGGAGGTTGTGTCAATATTTTTCTTTTGTTCCTTTTCATGAGCTGTATGTATACTAGAAATTTTAACCCTTTATCGTATTTACTGTGAATATTTTCCCTTCTGTTTGTTTTGTTTTTAATTTTTGGTCATGCTGTCCTCTAAAACAATTTAACATTCTAATATAGTTCGGATCTTTCCAATGTGATTTCTCCTATTACATGTTGTCTCAGAAAATTATCTCCATAATATCACCCAGGGGCTTTGATAAAGGATTCAATTCTGCATTACCTTTCTGATTTTATTTTCCATATCTAATTATTTAGTCCATCCATTTTGATGTATAAGATGTAGGTTAAATTGATCTGTTCCTTACATGCTAACTAGTGAAGCAAGGCTCCTGCTTTAAATACATTTGGAGGAAGCCTTGAATAACTAACAGAGTAGGCCTAGGTCAGGTGAGGAGTCCTCGCACGCTGGGCCGAGGCTCCAGGCTCCGTGGGCGGGTGAGGTAGACGGTACAGCCACAAAGGAGTTAGAACGTTGAGAGGCTCGGTGAGAAGAGAAAAACAGCAACTACCCAAATGAAGTGTGGGGCTGCACCTAAATGTCCGCCGTGTTTTTACTTTGCCCTTTCCCTTCATAAACATAAACATTGGGGGAATTGAAAGCACTTCTGAAAATTGACTGTTCGGCCCAGAAGTCTTCTTATCTTGTTAAGAGTCCTTTTAATTTTCCAAGAGTGAGGGCTCTCAGTTGACCTGCTGTAAGGAATTTACTGAGCACTCGTGTGTGGAGCGCTGTGCTGGGCTCAGGGTGTGTGGCGGTGTGGCACGCAAAAGGTAACAGCTCCGAGGCGACCTCGAGGTCGGCGAAGCGAAAACAAGGATCAAAGGCAGACGAGAAGATAAGTCTAGGAGAGAAAGGGGAGCGAAGGCTCTGCTGCGCAGCGTAGCCGGTGCGGGGTGCGCAATGCCACTAGAAAGGTCTGCGTCCACCCTCTGTCCTCCCCCGCCTTGCACGTCCACCCTCCTCAAAGCCCCTGCCCATGCAGACAAGATTCTGCACTTGCTTTCCTGCCCTCGGTCAGGTAGCCAAGTTCGCGCAAGCTGCATCTCACAGCTTTGCAAGGGTCTGAAATCTCGGCAGGGAGCCACGTGCACTAGACTGGGAGTCAGAAGTGCCTGCCCCCAGCCCCGCTGCCGCTTACAAGCCTGAGAACCTACCTGCACCACACCGGGAAGGCACGTCCGACGCCCTGGTCCTGGTTTCCACCCGCCCACTCGCGCACTCAGGTTCCGGGTATCTTTCTCTCCCGGCGCTCGCAGGGCAGACCACAGCCCGGCAAGCGCTCCTTCTCTCTTTGCTGGGACTCCGTGCAGTAAACACTGCGCGGCTTGGCATCTTTTAACCGGCATGCAGGTGGAGGGGAACGCGCGGGATCTCTCTCTCTCCCCGGTCCCCAGTTTGGCATGAAGTCCTAATCTGTAGCCTGAGCAGCTGCCACTTTCATCGTGAAAAAGAAAAAGGGTCTGGGGTCCAGAACCCTGAACCTGTCAACAGCGACGTCCGCCGAGACAGACTGGCTCTCAGGAAAGCTGGGTCAGTGCGTCTCCCCAGGACAACCTCCTCCCCGGTTCCCCCTTTCCGGAGGGAATTCACCCTGCGGGCCTCCGCGCCTCGCCCCCTCCCACAGCCCGGCGGGACCCGTGACAAGAGGGGGGCGGGCCCCCGCAGAAAGGCCCTGGAGTGCCCGTGGTCCCGGCCTGTGGTTCAAGCCGGCTGTCCCCTCCCCAGGCCCGAGCCTCCCGGGCGGAGGAGCCGAGGGCCACGAAGGAGTGAGAGTGGCGCCCGGATGACTGATCACCGCAGAGAAAGTCCCCTACGATTGTGACCCCTGAGCTGGGGGAGGCGGGGCCGATGCGCAGGAAGATGCCGTGATGGGACCGAGAAAAAAACCACCAACTCCAAACCACCCACTTGTGTTTCTCACCCTGAGTTCCCCGAGAGCAGCCGAAAGACCCCACAGGCTGCGCCGCGCCGCCCTGACCCCCACCCGCCCCAGCGCTGTCTCCTGTGGGTGGGCTTCGCGTGCCCTCTGGGTTTCGGAGCCACCACGTGACTTCCACGAATAGCGCAGCGGGGGGGCAGCGGAAAAGGCGGCAGGGGTGGGATTTGGGACCCCGAGGTGCGGCCCCGAGAGGAGGAAATGAGGCGGGATGGGAGAAGGAGGGGGCGGGGCAGACTTGGGGACGGGAAGGACCGACGGCTGGGACGGGGGTGGGGAAGCCCGGGCAAAGCGCAGAGGCTGCACGAGCCCAACGAGCGGGAAGCCCAAGGGGCGGGGCAGGGGGCCGGCGGTCGGCAGGTGCGGGCGCCAGGATGCCGGGGGCGGGAGAGTGTCGGTAGGTAGGGCCGCTCGTGCAGGACGCGGCGAGCCGCGCGGCCGCTCCTCCGTGAGGCGGCGCGGCGGGGCGGGCTGGGCCGACGAGCGCCCGGCATGTCGCAAGGGCTCCCGGCCGCCGGCAGCGTCCTGCAGAGGAACGTCTCGGCGCCCGGGAACCAGCCGCAGGTAGTGAACTAGAGGCTCAGGGAGGACGGCAGGGAGGCGCGAGGAGGATGGTGCTGGGGTTCCGGGTGCTGACCGCTCAGTGGGGAGTGGGGGCGCGAGGGTGGTCCAGGGACGCACGCACGGCACCCGGGGCGTACAGGACAGGGGCGTGCAAGCCAGGAGGGGGAGGAGACACTCGAGGGTAAGGATACCTCGCTGTGCGGCGCATGGTTCATGTTCCCCCGCACGTGGGGTCCGCGCCGCCATCAGTGCGCCGCCACCCGCTGCCGTCCCACCCCCGGCGCGCCTGGCCCTTTCTGGGAGCTCCGAGCGGGAGCCAGGGCGCGGAGAGGGGAAATTTAGCCCTAGGGGGCAACTCGTGCCCCGGCACAATCAGTATCCACTCTCCCCGGCTGCTTCGGGAATGGGGAACTCGGGATCAGCTGGCCAAGGGTACGTGGTGGGGGCCTGCCGCGGGCGGCCTCCACCCCCAGCGCTGGCGGAAACCCCGCGCCCGCGTCCAGCCCTCTGCGCGGTCCCGGCAGTTTTTACAACTGCGGACTTAGCAGCCTTGAGAGGAGGCTGCCTGCAGGAACTGCTTTGGGAGGCTTCCCACTTAGCTGCTGTATAGCACTGAGTCTTTTCATCGTTACGCCCCCCTTGCCACGTCGGTGCTTGGCAGATAGTGTCATCGGGTGATGCTGGAGAGTCACAAATCTGAGTCTGGGGCTGGCTTTGCCACACGCAGGCTGAAGCCATTGGCAATTTGCTTTATCCCTCTGAGTCTCGTTTTCCCCACCTGTAAAATGCATATGTATAACATCGACCTCTGAATGATTTTTGTGAGGACTAATTGAGATATGGTTAATAATATATGAATTTCTCAACACTTTGCTCCCCTTTTTCTGTCTTGATAAATGTTTCTTCTTGGTTGCCAGGTGTGACCACAGGTAGCAGGTGATAACCCAGTTTAGAGTGTAAGCTCCCGGAGGGCAGGCTGCTTGCAGCGTCGTTGTGCCCTATGACTTTCGGATTGTGAGGAACAAAGAGGAATGATTTAGTGACAAGCCCAATAAGGGACTCAATACAAAATAGCACCAACCTCAACAGAGGTTATTGAGGGCATACCGTGTGCTGGGAGCTTTGAGGTAAAATCGTATTTTATCTCAGGTCAGCCTCAAGCATTGGGCTGCAGTTCCGGGAGTGTATCTCCGGCGCCTGAGGCAATGCCTGGCACGTGGCAGGCACTCTGTTCACACTATTGAAAGGATGAGTGAATCACAGTTACAATAAATGAGTAAACTGAAAATTCTGAGAACATGGTCACCAAGGCCATATTGACATTAGGAGAGAACAAAGCAGAAAACCCAGGAGATGTGTACTTCCAAAGCTAACATTCTGTCCTCTGCACCACATTCGTCCCCTGTGGTGTTCTGGTTCTGTTTACCAAGACTTCTTTGCCTCTAAAAGATGACATTTTAATACCTTGCCTCTGTTCCTTTATTAAGCTTCAGCCTCTTCTACTTTTTATGCTATTTATGAATATGCCATTTACTCTTCTCCTTTATTCTTATCTATGCTAAAAATTCTTTACCTGCATTACTTGGGGACATGGGATGTGTCTCTTCTATTCGGAACACAAGACCAGATAAAATGATAGCTAAACATTTGCTTTCAATTAACATTGGTAATTGAGTAGCTTTCCTGTGTTTGAATCCCACTGATCTCTTGGGTTTTGCACTCTTTTAGTATTGCCCCGTCCACCCCCTTGGTATCTTTTCACAGGGTTCTGGAAAGGAAATGCCGCTCTCTTCTCCGTGTTTTCTATAAGTGAATCAAGTGTTTTTGCCATGGTAGATGCACTTTTATGCCTACCTGTTTCACAGTAACTCTTGCGGGGGTTTGACTAGGTTTGGTTAAATCTTATATATCACTAAGGGCTTCCAAGGCACATCATGAATGTACTTTCTGATTTGCTCAGACTTGTGAAACACAATGGCAATCCAGCATGGTTCATATGAGCATGTCGTCAGTGGTGTTTAAGATCATTTGGTGCGCTGCTGATAGAGTTATGTGGTTGCAATGAGTTATAAGAGTAACCGTAATGTGTGCAGAGTGTCAGAAGTCCGGGTTTGCGTGTGGCAGTGTAAGGCCTGGCACAGAGCAAGTTCCAGATAGCAGATGCCTTTCCCATTCTCAGATGAGCAACACCAACACCGCAGCTCTTCCAGACACACACCCTGTGGGGCAGAGGTTGGTGAACGTTGGTGGAGTCCAACAGACCTGAGTTCCACTTCCCATTCACCCACTTACTTGCCGTGGTACCTGGAGCTAGTTCCTTAACCTCTTTGAGTTTCTTATTCCTCATCTTTTAAGTGGCGGTGACACCACACATTTCTCAGAGTGGTTGTGGGGATCAGCAGCGAAGCGCAGCCATAGCACATGGGGCGTCCTCCTTAAGAGGGCTATTCTTACCCCACTGATGTAGCAACAAGCGCTGCTGTGACCGCAGATAAAATGGAGAAGGCAGTGAGCAATGCTGAGTGAGGAGAGAAGGCAGGCGCGTACAGGCAGGGCGAGGGGCCCCCACATCACTCCTTACCACACGTTTCCCCCTAGAGCCCTGAGGATGATGACAGAAAGGTCCGAAGGAGAGAAAAAAACCGAGTTGCTGCTCAGAGAAGTCGGAAGAAGCAGACGCAGAAAGCTGACAAACTCCATGAGGTGAGACTGTGGTCGGGGCAGAGCCACCTTAGGGCCACGGAGAGGAGCCGTCTTCTGTCCTTGCACTGTGGTGGTGACCCTGAAGTCACGTCCTGGTCATCACCAATTAAGCCACATGCATGACTAATTCTGCTGTGTCCTCCCAGCCCAGTGTTCTGGTTCTTTGCTCACCGGCCCCTTCATTTCTCCCTCATCCACTGTTTGCCTCTCACACATGAAACTTTACCATGAAAGTTTCTTTCATGGTAAAACAAACTCAGAATTCCTTTTCATCTTTATTCCCTTTTAAGCTAGTGCCCGTTTCTTTCCTTTCCTTCCCTCACTTTTCTGCTTCTTAAAGAGACTAGTGCTGTCTTCTCCATGGTCTCAGTTCCCATTTTCCCCCAATCCTCTGATTTTGTTTCTGCTCCCACTACCCAGTGCGCATGTGCATGTACACACACACACACACCAACTTCCTATGGAAGCTCTTCCCCCTGAGACCACTACTAGTACCTGGTCCAAGGACCTCTTTCTAGTCTCATCATCCTTGACCTTGCTGGAATATTTGATACCAATGACCCCTTCTTTTTTATTATTTTAATCCTTACCTGAGGATATATTTATTGATTTTAGAAACATCAGTGTGAGAGAGAAACATTGATCGATTGCGGGAATAGAACCCACAACCTAGATATTTGCTCTGACCAGGGATTGAACCTGTGACCTTCTGATATACAGGACGGTGCTCCAACCAGCTGAGCTACCTGGCCAGCCTGACCCTCCCCTTCTTGAAATCTTTTTGTAAGGTCTTTAGCTTCTAAGAAAAAAAAAAAGAAAAAGACACATTTCTTACCCTCCTGACCCTCTTAGCCCCTTTGCCCTTGACTTCTTTCTTAGGTTTCTACCTCTGTTGTCTTAAATGTTGTTGACCACATTCTGTCTTTTTTCTTCTCACCCTGGAGAATTTAATCTATAAATCTGTTCTCCCAACATCAGTCACTCCAGGAAAGACCTCTGTTCTATCCCTAACCCTGTATTTCCATTTCCCATCAGGTCTGCTGCAGGCTCCTCTCATGCAACGTGGTCATAATAGAAGGTCCATTTACCCTGAGACTTTCTCTTCTCACTGTCTTCAATTTGTACTTAATGGACCTAAGTGTATTTCTCATCACTGAAATCAGGAGCCTGGGTTTCTCCTAAACTCTTCCATTGTCCTCGACCCCTATGCATGATTCCCACATCATCTCACAGCTAGGACATGGGGACCATTTGCTATCAGGGGCTGTCCTCCGAGGCATCCAAGGACCTGTCCAGGAAATGGGCGACCATTCCGAGCTCTCGTCTTTGAGCAGCACCGATGTGAATAATCACGGATTTTAGTTGAGCTCTCTCCTACCACACTTTGTTGCCATAGTTGTCTCAGCAAGGCCAGTCTGGGAGTGTTGACAGCAGAGGAGACTCTGAGGTGTTTTGAGGGGGAATGACACTCTCTGATATCCTTTAACAGTGAAGAGAGGACAGATTGAGAATGTAAACGTCCAGGGAAAGGTGACCCACTGACGCAACTTCACAGCATGGCATAAATTATACATCAGATTCTTTCCCAGAAGTAGGAAGGTCCTAGAATCTTCAGACCAGGGTGAGGGAAGGTCCTCCCCATCTGTGCAAAGTTTCCACAGATGGACTGCAGTGTCCTCTGCCTCTTTTCTCCCTGCCCCCTTGCCCCTGAAGCCACCCTGGTTCTAGCTTTGTGTTTCCGAATAATTCCCAGAGAGGACCTGCAGCTCACAGCGCCTGGCTCTGGGTCCAGAGGACTTGCCTGTTGGACAGCTAGGGCTTTTTCCCCTAAAGAAGCTTCTAGTCCTAAAAAGCCCTCAAGAGGACACTCAGTTTTAAGTACCAAGTGATAACGTGTATAGAAGTGACTAAATGACTTGAATAGGACCTTTCACAGAGCAAGGTCAAGTAGATTCGTTCCTCAAATATTTGTTAAGCATTGCTGTGAGCAAGGCATGGCCACTGGGTCCCAAAGAGAGGACGGACCCCTTATTCCTGTCCTTGGGAAGCATAGCAGCACCCAAGGAAAGAATGTTAGTTTCCTATGGCTGCTGTAACAAATTTGGTAGCTTAAAACAAGACGGATTTATTATCTTACAGTTTTGGAGGTCAGGTGTCTGAAATGGATCTCACTGGGCTAAAATCAAGGTGGTGACAGGGATGCATTCCTTTTGGAGACTCTAGAGAAGAATCAGCGTCCTTGCTTTTTCCACGGTCTAGAAGCTCCTGTGTCCCTTGGCTTGTGGTCCCCTTCCATCTTGAAAGCCAGCTGGCCAGCTCAGTCTTTCTAAGGCTTCATTCCTTTGACAAGTTTTCCATAGTCACATCTCCTTTTCTGATTCCTGACTCCTCCCTTCCCTTATGAGGACCCCTGTGATTGCCTTGGGTTCACCTGCATAATCCAGGATAGTCTCATTTTAAGGTTCTTAATGTCATCTGCAAAGTCCCTTTTGCCACTTAAGGTAAAGGTTGGGTGTAAACATCTTATAGGGGGCAGAGCATTATTCTGCCTGTCACAGAAGACCACAGAAATAATTTACTACAGAGTGAAGACAGGTCTCTCTAATTTCTGTCATTATTGGATTCGCCAACCGAATGAACCAGCTGCCTGGGAAACCTAAGGGTGGTGCTACGCGGAGTCCTGCCGGACCCTTTTAGAACTGCAGGTGGGGAGCTCCTCCATGGGGTTCCTAGCCTGTTCTGCTGTCCATAGACATGACTCCTCAAGCCAGGTGTCCTTCCCGGAAATGGGGCTGATTGATCTGAAACCCAGTCCCTCCAAGGAAGAGCACCCCCTTCTCCTCTTCCTCTGTGAGCTAGAAGGGCGGATGAGGACTGTGCACCCCTGGTGGACCACCCCCAGCTTCGACCAGCAAGGCCAGCTTTGTTGAGAAACATGGGGTCAAGGGGGCCCACTTTCACCATTACTAGCCACATGCATGTCATCAGTGACAAGAATGTGTGAGGGAGCTGGTGGCTGGCTCAGGAAAATGGAAATTTCCAGTCCTTCCATAGAAGAAGAGCATCATGTGTGGCCCAAGGGCTCCATGTGAATAATCCTTCCCTGTTAATTCCCCACCTCCTTCCAGGGAGCACATTCTAGTTCTGGGGATCTATGTTCTATCGATATGTTCTTTTGTAAAAAAAAAAAAAAAAAAAGTAAACGTAGTAAAAAATGATTATTTTTAAACTTTGAAGAAATCTACATTTTGGGAGTGGGGTGTGTGGTGAAAAATGTGGTGAATAATCTCACTGTGCGCCAATGAGTTGAGGGCAGGGCACCTAGCACACTGTTCTCAGTCGGGGTTCAAAGCCCCTCCGCCCCCTGGGGCTCTCAGGCCACATGCAGGGTGGGAAAAGTGAGAGCGCACCCAGTGTGTGGAGACCCCCTCAAATGCGAGTGAGGCCAGCTCACAGGAAGACCCCGAGGGGCAGGAAACAGCCGCCTGACAGCCACAGCTCTGCTGGCTATTCCCTGAGAAGGGTCTGAGTCTCTGTCCCATGGATTCCCCTGTCCCAGACTGTGGGGTAGTGTGGCTGAATAGCTCAAAGTCACTCAGATCTTTATTTGCCTTTCTTTAATTTTTTAAAAATTAATTGATTTTAGAGAAAGAGAGAAAGAAACATTGATTTGTTGTTCCACTTATTTTTGCGTTCATTGGTTGGCTCTTCCATGCCCTGACCAGGGATGGAACCTACAACCTTGATGCCCTGGGATGACGCTCTAACCAACTGAGCTACCCAGCCAGGGCCATTTGCCTCTCTTGGATTCCATGAAGGGGAATATTGAGAGCAAGACTTGTTTAAAATTCCCAGCTTTCTCTCCTGCCCACCTCACTCTCTTGCCTCCAATACCCTGAAAAACCCCCTTCAGTCCCAGCTCACCTAAGCCCCCCCCCGCCACCTCCCTCCCCTCTGTCTCCAAAACCAGACCTGTCCTTGGAGGCAGGACCTCCTCAGAGGCAGGGCAGTGGGGGAGCCTGGGGGGGCGAAGCCAGGCAGAGGCTGGGGCTGCCGCTCCTCAGTCCGAGCTGCCCCTTCAGGGCAGGGGTTGCTGGAAGTCGGATTGCAGTGATGAGAAGCAGTTCCCAACGTGCCTCTGTGTACCTCAGTGTTGCTGTGGCTCTTCCAGTCATCCCTTTGAGCAGCATACACCTCTCGTGAGGATTTCGACCCCTGTTCATCTCTGAACAGCAGGCATACGCCTGAGTCCACGTTCACAAACGGGAACCCAAGCGAACAGCCAGCTCCCTAAGACAAGCTGAGAGACACTTCTCTCAGAAGTGGGTCAGACTGGTTGTTGCCAGGCACCTCAAGGTGTAAGACTGAGAAAGAATTTTGAGTCAGAAAAGGAAGGCAGCGATGCCATCCTCAGGAACCCCAAATGTCACAAACAGCCAGTTTCTTGAGTAACATGATTGTGGTATATGTTGCCACAGTTTTTTCAGATATTGCATGTTCCAAGAGAATGCTTCATGTTCAGTCCCTACTTGGTTTAGAAACTGATGATGACACTAATTTTGACAGCCCTTGCTGATGACACATTTTTCTGCTGGGAAAGGTATCAGCTCAAGGCTTAGGAATAGACTTATTGTAAAATCCTGAGCTCTTACAGCCCATTTCTGCTGGTAATCACCATGGGGAAATTTGAGCCCAGGCACTGACAAGCCAAAGCCAAATAGCTGTCATTGCATGAGAGCTGCAGTTGACCTTCAAATCAGGGATCACGCTCCAGTCCTCATGACCTTGGAGGAGTCACTGCGCCTCTCAGAGTTTCAGTTTTCTTGCTTGTGAAGTGGGGTCTGAGTGTGGCTGTGTCCTCCTAATGGCCTTCTGCTTCCCCTGATGCCCTTTCTTGCTTTAGTGACCGTGGCTGGTCTCAGGCACCCACATTATCTTCTTTGCCACTCTAATCCTTCCCTCTGCCTTGGAGGCATCCTGGGCCCTGGATACGCCGGGACAGCCCCCCGCCCCCCGCCCTCCCCAGTCAGCCTCTCTTAAATGCCCAGCAAGGTGTCTCAGCCTTGGGGCTGGCTACTTCCTTGTCGTGGGCGGCTGTCCTGTGCACCCCTGGCCTCTGCCCTCCCGGTACAGTGGCGCCCCTTTCCCCAGACTGTCTCCAGACACTCCAAATGTTCCCCGGGGACTGCCCAAACTGCCCCAGTTGAGAGTCACTGCCCTAGACAGCTTGATTTCTGAGACAGAGCTGGGATTTGCAGTGGCTTCACCTCCTCTAACCTATAGCCACTGCTTTGCGACTAAGTCCCAGCAGATGCCCCGGAAGGCAGCGCAGTAACCTCAACCCTCCTGGGGCGAGGGATTCAAAGCACAGCGGTTGCTGAGCTTAGCCGAGCATCTCTTTGGAAATAACAAAGGGTCTAATGTTCTTATTTTTCATGCGTGTGAAGCCCAGGTAATTTCTTTTCGGTGAGCGTGGGTCTTACTCCTTCCCTTTGCTCCCACTCAGTGCTCTCCTACCTCCTCTTCCTCCCCTCCCAGCTCCTCCTCTTATTTTTGTAGAACTGGTCTCATGGGAAGGAGACTTGTACATCTTCTCTCTTTTGTATTCCCTCAGCTCGATAAAAGTCCCTGGGCATATTTGTGAGTAAAACTTAAATCCCAGAGGAGAAAGTCCCTGCGGGAAGGCCTGCGCGGGGCCTGCTGGGCAGCCTGTGCGGAGGCTCTAAAGCCCTTCTGGGTTGGGGTGCGGGCAGAGCAGCGGTGCCGAAGCGGCGTGACTCCATGTGGCTTCTGGAGATAGTGCTCGGGAGCTCAGGGCGCCTCGCCAGGGAATTCAGTCAATATAGAAAGTCAGCTTGGAATATTTTACTATAGGAAGAGAGTTTGCTGTTCTTTGGAATCTAGTGTAAACGAGCTCATGGGAACCATTCGAATCTATTCTCCCTTTCCTTGGAAGTGACGAGCACTTCCAGTTGCAGGGCGGAGCGTGTGTGAGACAGCCCCGCACCGCCTGCTGCTGCGGGCTGGCTTCCCGGCGCTGCGGAGGCGCTGCGGAGGCGTGCATCTGCTTTCTCCCGTCCAGACCCTCCTCTTGCCCGTGGTGGGGCTCGGTTGCCGTGTTTGTACACTGAGTTCTGGCTCTAGAACTAGAGCTTGTCAGAGGCCAGAGGAGAGCGTCAGCAGTTGGGGGTCCTAGACATGGAGGAGAGCTAAAGGCAGAACAGGGCCAATGCACTAGTGCCGCCAAGCTGACCCAGGACAGCCTGTGGGGGAAGGGCGAGCCCTGCTGCCCGCGGAGTATTCCAGGCCACCCTGAGAGCCTGCCTGGGAAAGGCAGAAGGCCGAGGAACGGCTCAGCTGACCTTGGCGTGCAGTCCCTCTGCACCCCTTGTTCTTAGAGGGAAGAAGACGCCTAGAGGGGAAGGGAGGGAAGGAAGGAGGTAAGGAGACAGAGGGCTGAGGGATCACTGAGAGCTTAGATATCTGCACTGGGGCCTGTCAGGCAAGGATACAAGAGGGTAGCAGAGGCCCCAGGTGCTATATATTTCTGCTCTTTGGAGAGAGATCTTATTTAATTATAACTGATCATGATACAAGACTGAATAAGAGAGATAATAAAAGATGTGCTTCCATTGGGTGCTGTGATCATGGCAGCCTTCCTGGTGGTGGTGGGCTTGAGCTAGACCTACAGAGAAAAAGAGGAAGGCAGCGCAAGGGCAGAGTCGGGAATTGGCATTTGCCTGCAGAGCCTGTTAAGAAGATCAGACCTTTTTAGTGCTATTTCTTAAAAATTACTAGTAAGAGAAATGCTGTGATGGATAATAAGGTTGGGTCTCCTGCTCAGGAAGCATGGCATGCGTGGTACAATACAGCCCGATAGTGTGAATCAACCTAGAGAAGACTGAAAACAACATGCCAGCAAGATTTAAATAAGATTTAAGTAAGATTTAAATACACCTTAGGAGGGTCTCCGTTGACATGCTCTAGGGCCTCTGCCATTGGCTGAGTATTTGGGACTTATTAATGACTTGAAGGAAAGAAAGGAGGACCTGCTTGACCTGCTTATCAAATCTGTGGACAGCTTATAGCTTGTGGTATCGCTACTCTGTGAGCTGACACAATCAAGATTCTAAAAGATTTGCTAGGCTGGAAGGTGCTCAAGGGAACAGGGTGAAATTCAGTAGAGGCAGGAGTGAAGCCCATCCTTATACTCCGGAACATCAAGTGTTCTTAAAATATAGGCAGAGGAGCCGCAGGTGCAGACAAGGCTTGCGCTTCTCCGCATGCCCAGCATCCCGAGGGTGAGGTGGCTGTAGACTCGCGTCCAGCCCAGAGCAGATCACCTCCTCCCCTGCAGTCCGCCCTCTGCACAGGCAGGCGGGCTATCCAGGGAGTCATGCCCTGCATTTTGGGAAGGATATTCTCTCAGAGCTCCTGACCAATTGGAGCATGTGTTCAATGATGACCAAAGGGACCAAAGGACCAGGAGTCCTAAAACCCAAGGAACCCAGAGGACCTGAGACAGTTGAGCCCAGAGAATACCTAAAGGGAAGTGGTATGGGGCTGTCTCCTAACATTTCCAGAACTGTGATGTTGAAAAAGTATTGAATTTACTCTATGTGGTTCCATAAGGTGGAACCAAGCCCAAAAGGTGGGTTTGAAGGGGAGAGCATTTTTGGATCAGTGCAAAGAGGAGCTTTGTCATACGGCTGCTCAGAAATGGCAGGAACTGTCTTTGAAGGAGAGAGTGCGCGACACCAGTTGGATGTCTGAGCTAGAACTGCTCAGGGACAGTGTCTGCATCGTGTGGGTAGGGCCAAGGAGTCTCTATGATCCTTTGAAGTTCTACGCCTCCATAAACTCTGACGTAGAGGAAATTTACCACAAGAGTATTGGAGCGAAGCCAAAGCAAGGGGTATTTTCATTCATTTACTCGGCACTCAACAAACATTTGTTATATGTTTGTAGCACTGTTCAGGGTGCTGGGGCTGTAGCGGTGGCCCCAACAGGGACCTTTAGAAAGCAGGTCAGCAGCTGCAGGAAGGGAAGCCTGCAAAGGGGCACCAGGGGACTTTTCAGGGTGATGGAAACATTCTGTCTTTATCAATATAGTTATTTGCATTTATTAAAACTCACTGAATTATACACTTAAAAATAGTATATTTTATTTTATGTAAATTATACCTCATAAAGTTTTTTTTTTTTAAACTTTACTTTTAGAGAGAGGGGAAGGGAGGGAGAAAGATTGATGGGCCACAGCACCATCTCTCCCTCTCCCAACCGAGCACCTGACCCCCAACCCAGGCCCATGCTCTAACCGCGAATCGAACCAGCAACCTTCAGGTTTGCAGGACAAACACTCAACCCACTGCACTACACCATTCAGGGCCCCCATGAAGTTTTTTCAACAAGCAAAGCCCTGCCGCCATGAACCTTTCGTCCTGGCAGGAGGAGAGCAACCTTAAGCAAATGAACAGACGGTCATGAGTGGTGGAGGGGGACACGGTTAGTGAGAAAGCTTCCACGGGAAGGAGGTGAGCACCGCAGTGCAGGTTAGATCTGCCAGGGTGACGGGGAGCAGAATGCGTTTTCAGACGCTGCCCATTCTCTGTCTGGCCCAGGAATATGAGTGCCTGGAGCAAGAAAACACAGTGCTGCGGAGAGAGATCGGGAAGCTGACGGAGGAGCTGAAGCACCTGAGCGAGGCGCTGAAGGAGCATGAGAAGATGTGCCCGCTGCTGCTGTGCCCCATGAACTTGGTGCCGGTGCTGCGGCCGGACCCCGTGGCCAGCTGCCTGCCCCGGTGAAGCCCAGGGAGGAGCCTTGATCTTTTTCACACCTGGGAGGAGGGTTCCCTCCCCATCTGTGTACAGGGGACCTGTGGCCAGGCCTCCTCCAGCGTTTCCTCTTCCTGAAGAGGTCATCTTCTATCTCCTCAAGTGGTTTGCGGCTCATGGGTCTTGCTTCCCCGTCCTGGTCATCTCCCCCACAGCCAGGCCTCCTCCTCAGGGCTCTGGGCCACATCCCACGGGCCCCTGACTCTCAGAGCCCTGAGTGGATCCAGGTCGGGAGACGCCCCGCACGACTACTTCACCCCCACTGTGGCAGCTAGTAGGTTCCGCTGTGATGCAGAATCATTTTCTCTAGAATTTGGATAATAAAGATGGTTGTTGTCTCTCCTTTTGCCAGGTTCTTGGAATTTAGAGACTTGGTACATTTTCTCTTCCTGTCCAGGTGTCTCCTGTCTCCTCAGGTTGTTTTGCGGCTCCTAGGTCTTACTTCCCCGTCCGGGTCATCTGCCCCACAGCCACATCCACGCTAGATGGGAAGGCAGCTTTGGGAGGCTGTGGAGCAAAGGCGACAGGGACTTCTGCCACCCCAGCTTGCGGACCCCTCTGGCTGTCCCGACTGCTGATCCGCTCTGAGTCCTGCTGCCACTGCTGCCTGCTGGCTGCTCACCCGCTCCACTGCTGACCCCGGGGCCTCTGTGCCTGCTGGCCCCACTGGCTGGAGCCCCGGGGCTGCACATAATAATTCAGGGACCAATTCCAATTCCTTCCATTTAGTTGCTCTGTAACCCCGAGGCATTGGAGTGGTGCTGGACTGGGAGACTCAGGAGGACGAGCCCGTGCAGGGACATGGGGAGAGGCCACGTCTTGGACATGAGAGTGAAGTGCTTTCTGGCCACAGTCCACAGGCCAGGCCTCACTCCCAGCTGCAAGAGAGGTCGGGAAATGAAATTTAGCTTCATGTCAGGGTGGAGGAACTGGAGTTTGTGACCGTTAGTCTCTGCCATAGGCGATCTAGCCTTTGCTCCCGCCACCTCACTGACACTGTCCCCTCGGATGTCCCCAGCAAGCTCTGGTTGCCAGGTCTAACGGGAATATCTCTGCCTTTTCTTCCTTTACTTCCCAACAGCCTAGTATACTGGCTTCTGTGTTTCTTCCTCTCTCTCTGTCTTCCTGCTTCTCTGTATAAAGAAATACAGTCACCATCTCTCCCTCTACTGATAACTCCCCACCTGTACCCAGAACCCAGCTCTCTCCTGTGGGCAGACCTGTGTGTGCAGCTTCCCGTCACATGTGTCTGAGAGGACATCTCACAAGTGTGTCCCCGTCCACACGTTCAAAACTACTCATGACCCCCTCGTCTTTCCTTAAACGCGTCTCACCTGTTTTCGCCTCTTTTATAAAGGGCTCCATCGTCCACCTGGTCAGAAACCTTTTCACATCATGCATGATTCTTCTGAGTCCTTCAGTTGTGTCTCCTTAATGTCCCCCAGGTCCAGCCACTTGGCTCCAATGTGCAAACGGCCCGATCTGCTATCAAGAACTTCATTTGAATTTGCTGGTGAACACCGTGGCGGGGCGGGGCGGGGGGGGGTGGGCAGGACAGCGGGGACGGAGGTTGCCTCCCTAAGCTGTGTATGCAATGAGGTTGAGCTCACAGTTAGTGACCTTTAGGCCTTCAATTTTGATATCAAAACAGTGAATTTGGAGTCAGGGAACCAAAACGAGGGTAGCCCAGGGTGTGAGTCATGGTGCTGGGGCCCGACCCCTCCAAGATAACTGGAGGTACGACCAGAGTTTTCAGAACAGAACTCGGCTGCAAAGAATATTCTAGTCAAGCTCCCATTAACATCAGAGCCTGTCTGAACTCCCCAACCCCTACTAGGACAAAGTAGAAGTTCTGTATAAATCTGAGAAACTATTGGATTATTCCAGGAGGGACAAGGGAAGCAGATAAGTTGGTAGGACTGGATTTGCTCAGTCCTGCTCATACTGCTGCTGGGTGCCAGGCCCTGTGCCTGTGCAGGTGTCTGCACTGGCTGATCGCTGGGCTGGGAAAGGGAGGGAGGCTGAGAAAGTGTTAGCGAGAAAGGAAGCCAGCCTTCTTCACACCCACGCAGCCACACCACTTCCTGTCCGCAATCCTGCCCTTGCCTTGCAGCAGCCCAGCCTTGAAGCCTGGGATTTCCATCGCTGAATCAGGCCCCAGTTTTTACCCCAAACCTTGGCTGAGAATGACGACTCTAATGAACAGGAAAGCGAGAAACCCAAAAGCCCCTCTCTCCTTCCCCGTCAGTGCTAGGGTTTCCACAGTCCCGTGGACTTACCAGGGCTGAAGGCTCTGCCTTAGAAGGAGCTAGAAGGAAAGTGGCGGCCCCGAATGTCACTGACGTGTCTTCCCTCCCATGCCACCCTGGAAGACCTGGCAGAGTCATCCATGCCACAGCAAGAATGCTCCTAACAGACAGCCAGGGAGCAGAAAGAAAGAAGAATGGAGAGGAGGAAGGAGAGAGAGCAGAAGGGAAAGAGAAAGGAAAGGAAGAAGGAAGAGAGAAGGAGGAAGGGAAGAAGGCGATGGGGGTCCTTGAGCTCTGAACCTAAACCATCCCTGATCCTGCGGCAGTGATGCTGAATGCCCAGGAGGGTGTGCTATGGAAAGCCCCTGCCCCCATAACGCAGCAAACCTTGGGGTGAGAGTGGAGCTAACCAAGGCCAGATCCTCTGGAAACTGCTCTGTGCTTGGAGTCAAGGGAACGTTCCTGGATTGCTCATTGGGAAATTGACCACCTTGGTGAAATCGTTCCCATCCCCATCCATTTGGGACAAAGGGGATCAATGTGGTTACATTGTCGCTGTGGACATCGTCACCATGAGCATGAGCCACATCGAAAGTCTGTACTTCGCAGATGCTGGTGTGCCCGGCAGGGCATGCTGGAAGAGCTTGCACCCTAAATCTGGGGATGTGTTCAAGGCAGACTGCCCCTGGAGACAGTTCACCTACTCTTTGGGGTGTTCGAGCATGACCTTTTCTGGTGCGGTATTCTATAGAAGATCAGAAATGTCATCACAGATCAGATGAAAGGCCACTAGCCCAGAATTCCAGCCACGATACTGAGGGAAAGGGAGGGAGAGTCCAGGGTTTGCATTTTAAGACAGCATCCTTAAAGGCCAAAGGTGCACTTGGAACTTCCCTGATTTCCCTTAATAACCCACTGCTTTATCTGTTCATCCATTAATCAAGGCTCTTCTTGAACTAGTTTAAGTTCGCAGCCACTGTGTGCAAGGCGTCAGCTTCCACTCCCAGTCCGGGCGGGTGGTTCAGGCTTGGCGCACGTGCCCTGGGGCGTGGGGAGCAAGGCTGCTTTCCGAACATCCCAGCCTCACTGAGCTTCTCCCAGTCTCTCCTCTTGATCGGAGGCCAGGCCAAAAAAAGCACCTTCCAAAATGTCATAAACCCACAGAAGGCTCAATTCACTGGGCAGTTCTTTTTGAGATTGAGAAAGTGAGAGAGTGGTGGGCAGCATCCAAAGTTTCAAGACCAGAAAGAACCAGTGGAAGTACCTTGTAGCAGTTCTTGAACTGTGGCAGGGAATCTGCTAAGTACTAGTTAATTATTACTAAACTTATTGGTAATTAACAATTTATTTTAATTAATTATTCTGGCAAGAAACCTATACACTTATTTATAAAACTAAATAATAAATACATATTTAAAGTAATACAATTATTTATTAATAATTTGCTATTATTACCAATTTACTAATCAGTTATTGTTCAAACAATTAGTAGTTATGTTCCCATTGTGTGTGTGGCAGTGAACGGAACCAGCAACACACCTTAAAGAGCCGCCCTATCATATGACTTCCGAAATCTCACCTCTAGACCTGTCTCAATTTGAGCAAAAGAAATGTGATGTTTTCCATCTGGTCAGATCAGGGAAAACTCCTACATCAATTCCAAACAATTACAGGACAGGGATGCTCTTTCACTTATCCATGTATCTCTGGTTGTTAACCACGATGCCTACCACCCATGACTAACACTAAAAGTGTTTGAATGATTGATGGAATGAATGGCTACTCCTTCCCTAGTCTTCATCTAAGTCCCTCATCCCTATACCGCCCCCTCAAAAATCACTTAATATTACCCTATTTGTAATTTAAATTCCTCATTGTGGTTTCCCCATTTAAGAGCATGGACCTAGCCTACTTCCTTTCTTCCTGTAATTCTTCATCTGGGTCAGTTCGCCTGTTGCAAATTAGGGATTCCCATAAATCAGCAATGAAGTTGCTTCATAAAGGCCCTGAAATAATAGAGTTGAAAGTGACAATATGTTGATGACGATAAGGAGGAGGATTGGACCAGAAAACACATCTCTTCAGTCATTGTCTTCAACTTTATTTAAACACTATAAATACAGTTTTTATATTTCTATTTGTCCTACAATGTTTACTACTTGTCTTTAATATTTGCTTAGGATTATTTAACTTATCATGTGTTCACTGACGAGTTCATATGCAAATCCCCAGTGGCCTGGTCCAGAGGGGAAAAAAAAATGAAATTGAATAGGTGGATCTTGTAGGGAAAAAGTTCAAGGGAAAAGGACTTGTCCAGAAGACACCCCTCAGGTATTGCAATTACAGTCTTTCCGTGTCTTTGAGCCATTTTACAACTCTGTGAATTGCAGCTACTTGCTATCAATGCAGAATAATTGGTAGCTATAGACACAAAATTTATGTCCTGTCTCCAGAAGGTCAGTTTACTCTCCATCCTCCCTCTCCCTGGAAAAACCAATTTGCTCCATTTGCACAATCATGTCAACATTCCAAATCTATAAATACGCCTGTTCTTTGAATGCTGTTTTAAACGATCCTAACCACTCCGTCCCCCTACTCATCATCTTTTTAAACTTTATGATCTTACTAAACTTTCGGTAAGTGAATTTTTTACAGATGTTCACTTCATATCTGAATAACAGCTATGATATAGCCATTTTTGGAATTTATTTTAAACAGAGTTAAATGATCCCAGTGTTGTTGACAGATGTTCACCGCACGGGGACACAGGAAAGCCAGGTAATGTCACTGAGTGTCACCTCCAAGGAGCAGAGTCCCTGGGGCCATTTTTCCTGCTCTGCTGTCTTGGGCTGTGTTATTCTGAGTTAGTTCCTCATACCTGCCGTTCCTCCCCCTCGCTTTCCCGCCATCTCCTAAGCATCCTGTGCATCACAGGCCGACCGTTACTTTCTCCAGCAGCCTCCTGTGATCCTTGATGTGTTTGTTTAGGTG